ACTCAAGTTACAGCTTGCACGGACGGACGGACGGACGGACAGACAACCATCCGGATTTCAACTCTACTCGTCACCCCGATCACTTTGGTATATATAACCCTACATCTGACTCTTTTAGTTTTAGGACTTACAAACAACCGTTATGTGAACAAAACTATAATACTCTCTTTAGCAACTTTGTTGCGATTTGGGCTGTGCACCAGTGATATCAACCGAGTCAAGTCGACAGTCAGCCTAGTGGACTGCATATTATGAAACGGATCTCTTCTCGAAGGATTACTGAGCCAGTTTTAATTCATTGCACTGGGCATTTGATTGCAGTTCTATTTCTTCTTCTTAATGGGCGTAGACACCGCTTACGCGATTATAGCCGAGTTAACAACAGCGCGCCAGTCGTTTCTTTTCCACCTGGTCCTTCCAACGGAGTGGAGGTCTTCCCCTTCCTCTGCTTCCCCCGGCGTGTACAGCGTCGAATACTTTCAGAGCTAGAGTGTTTTTGTCCATTCGGACAACATAACCTAGCCAGCGTAGCCGCGATATTCGCCGTGGCCAACGCGCAAAGGACCATAAATCTTTCGCAGAACTTTTCTCTCGAAAACTCTCAACGTCAACTCATCAGTTTTTGTCATCGTAGAAGCCTCTGCACCATATAGCCGGACGGGAATTATGAGTGACTTATAGAGTTTGGTTTTTGTTTGTCGAGGATTTTGCTTCTCCATTGCCTACTCAGGTCGAAGTAGCACCTGTTGGCAAGAGTTATCTTGCGTTGGATTTCCAAGCTCATTGTTGGTGGTGTTTACGCTGGTTCCAAGATAGACGAAATTGCCTACGACTTCAAAGTTATGACTGTCAACAGTGACTTGAGAGCCAAGTCACGAATGCAGCGACTGTTTATTTGATGACAGGAGATATTTCGTTTTACCCTCGTTAACTGCCAGACCCATCTGCTTTGCTTCCTTGTCCAGTCTGGAGATATCAATATCATCGGCATATACCAGCAGCTGTACACTCTTGTAGAAGATGATAACTTCTCTATTTAGTTCTGCAGCTCGAATTATTTTCTCCAGAAGCAGGTTGAAGAAGTCGCACGATAAGGAGTCCCCTTGTCTGAAACCTCGTTTGGTATCGAACTGCTCGGAGAGGTCCTTCCTGATTCTAAGGGAGCTTTTGGTGTCGCTCAACGTCAGTTTACACAGCCGTATTAGTTTTGGGGCGATACTCCTTTCACGTATCTTTTCCAAGAATTAACGCATGGTGAATATCTGGTCGGTTGTTGATTTTTCAGGTCTAAAGCCACACCGATAAGGTCCAATCAGTTTGTTGACAGTGGGCTTTAATCTTTCACACAATACGCTCGACAGAACCTTATATGCGATGTTGAGGAGGCTTATTCCTCGGCAGTTGGCGCAGATTGTGGGGTCTC